CATGATAACTCCCCCTCTGTGTACATAATAACTCGTGATCGGTTGTGAATTTTCCAATTCTGATTTCAGCAATTGGTAGATAATGGTCGTTTTGGTAACTTGGATTTGCCGCTCGTTGTCTATATTGGTTTGAAACAGTTTAATACTTATTAGTTATTAGTAATACTTCATTTATTATCTCGCAACGTTGCCCCCGGTTTGTATTTGGATAAGTAACCACTCGAAAACTCTGATTGTTGTCTTTTTGTTTATTTTAACTTATTTTTTTATATAATCTTTATTTTTTATTTTACTTATTTTATTTTTGGTCTTTTTTTCACTCGGATATTAAAAAAAACATTGGTGACAGTCTTACATCCTTGATGCCTAATGTATATTTGCAAAATTTTAACGAAACTTAGGTAGCACCATTGGTTCCATCTTCCTATCCGAGGTCCCACAAGCCAGCAGAGCCATTTTAGAAAAATGAAGGACGAAATACATCAGAATTATAGGCTGATTATAGGCCCTTTTTGGACACTTAAACAAATTTTCAGGCGGCATCCTTTAAAGAAAAAAACTATGGCTCTGCTGGCTAAAGACGAAGCTAGCTGACCACTTGTGAGATTTGCTTCGAAGGCGAAAAATTCAGATCACAATATCATAGGCTATTTATAGGCTTTTTTTAGACACTACAACAAATTTTCATGCGGCATCCTTTAAACAAAAAAAACTATCATCCAGATCAGTTTGATTTTGCCCCTCTCGGAGATGTAGTGGATAAATAAAAATTATTTATTTATTGTCTATTTATTGTCCCTTTCTTGTTCTGGGCCCTCAACGGGCTTTCGCCCAATTAATATATTTATTTAAACTCTAACTTATATTTCAAAAATCCGATACAACTGAATACCAAACGATCCTCGAGATCTTCACACATACATCATTTTTACAATACACCATAAGGGGTTGATTCTGTCCCACCTGATCAGCATAGCTTGTAACACAAATTTTTAGCTTCCTAGCATGTGCTAGGTAGCTATTGCGATAGCCGTTTTTTGAACATTTCAAAATTTCATCAAATGTCGACGTTTTAGACCATTTTAAGCAACTTTTAAAGAATAAAATTGTTAGCTTCCTAGCATGTGCTAGGTAGCTATTGCGATAGCCGTTTTTTGAACATTTCAAAATTTCATCAAATGTCGACGTTTTAGACCATTTTAAGCAACTTTTAAAGAATACAATTTTTTTCCGTCTGTATATACGTACGTACGTTTGTTGGCAATTTTCTGAGAAAACGGCTCGACGGATTTTGTTGAAATTTTGTATATATGTTTTAGGCATACCGAACAGAAAAATAACGGGCCGGATTTTTGGAAAAAAATTTTGGAGCGCCGTAACGGCATCGAACTTTTTTTTCAAATAGCAACCTAAAATTTTTATTCTATTATTTGGAAGACCTTATTTTCCTGTGTACAACCTACAAAAAATTGGGCCGGGTTATATTATCAAAAAACGGAGAAAAAAATTGTCAAAGTTAAAAAATTGTGTTGCATGTGTGCAAAACGCAACGATCTTGTTTCTGAAGCAATTTAAACGAAATTTCTATGGTAAGTCCCTTTAATAAAAGCAAACAAAATTCATGCGCAAAAATCGTGTTGCGCATGCGCAGAAATGCAATTTTCTTATTTATGGAACATTAGCTTCCTAGCATGTGCTGTAAGTGCGTACATATGTTGGCAATTTTTGGTTTCAGCTAGGAAGCTATTCTGTCAAGAATTTGACACCTGGTTTGAAATGGAATTAGTTTTACTTTTATTTGAGGTGCCTGAATACAACATTTCATTTAAATACCTTAACAAATAGAAGAAAACCGACTGCGCATGCGCAAAACAATTTTTTTTGATTTGGCATTAGTTTCACTTTTATTCGAGGTGCCTAGATACAGAATTTCATTTAAATATATTAACAAATAAAAAATTAGGATTGCGCAAATACAAAAGTTGTTATGCGCATGCGCAGTATTTGTTTGCATCTGCATAGTTGCCTGAAGTTTAAGGAATATTTACTAACAAACCGGACATTCATATGTTCTATGTAACAAGAGTTAGAAACCCTTTTTGGAGGTTTGCGCAGGTTTTGGTCTGTAACTTTTTGGCTCGTTGGTCTACGTAGCCGAAAAACAATTGCGAACTTTGTTATATCCTGAAGAACATGTGTATATCAATTTTTAAAGCGATCGGACATTTCTACACACTGACAGACAGACGGACAGACAGACGCACAGACAGGCAGCAATATAAAATTATAAACGATCTCGAGGTTCGTTAATAATATAATGAGACGAATAAGTTTAATTTTTTTTTGTACTTCTTTCCAATTCAGGAATATCGTTTCAACTTTTCTTCTCCTATAATATAAGAGAAGATGCATAGACAACTAAGACACTTTTAACATTATTTTTTTTAAAATCCGAAACACAACCACTTGCTATATATTTGATTTATTAGTAAAAGAAAATTCAAATTTCAAATACCTACTTGACAGATGTCTCCAAACAGGTGGAACAATCCTTAACATTAAAGTTACTAGAATCTGGTAACTTCCGCAATTTTTGAGCAAAAAACATGCGTTCTCTCTCTAACACACGGGCCCAATGGATTGCGGTACTTTCTATATTTAGTGACTTATAATGGATCTACAGTGACTGTATACCTACTGTATAGAGGCAGTTTGGTCATACTTTGGTGTTTTTTTTTATTGGTATGTGGGATATCCGCCATATTTTAACCAAATAAATCGGGTTGGCGGAAATTAACTTGGAATCCAATGTGATGAAGTCACAAACAGTTGTTTCAATAATATTGTAACCATAGAAAAATGCCAAAATCTACCAATTCAATTAAACCGATCAGCTCAATGAAGAATATGGGAAAAACATGGCGGATATAGAGCATATGACCACACTGTCTTTATACAGTCACTGTTAATGGATCGATATTAATTACAAGGCAAAAATTTTGGGCATGCGCATAACGTATCGCACATGTGATCAGCTAGCTTCTTCTTTAGCCAGCAAAATCATAGTTTTTTTGTTTAAAGGATGCCGCCTGAAAATTTGTTGTAGTGTCTAAAAAAAGCCTATAAATAGCCTATAATTTTGTGATCTGAATTTTTCGTCTTCGAAGCAAATCGCAAATGTGGTCAGCTAGCTTCTTCTTTGGCCAGCAAAAATGCAAAATCATAGTTTTTTTGTTTAAAGGATGCCGCCTGAAAATTTGTTGTAGTGTCTAAATAAATAAATGCTTACTATGGTTACTTCCACTCAGTAATGAGCTACGCCATAATTGCATGGGGACATTCTTCTGGGGTTAAACGGATTTTTGCTATACAAAGACGTGCGATTAGGATACTTACTAATTTAGGCTACAGAAGTTGTTGTAGGTGTAAGTTTGTTGAACATGGTATTTTAACCCTTCCCAGCTTGTACATTCTACATTGTATATTATTCATAAAAGAAAACATTGCTGATTACCAGTTTTCATATAACATACATGAATACTCCACTAGGTGTAGAGACAATATTAGCTCAAAATCTATTCGACTTACAACATCTCGGAACTGTAGTAACTATTACGGGATAAAATGTTATAATAAGTTACCCTCAAATCTGCGTCTTTTATCTTTCAATAAATTAAAAAATGAGGTAAGTAAATACCTTAAATTACACCCTTTTTATTCTGTCGATGAATTTTTAAGTGCGGAATGGCACCTGTAACTATTACTACTTTTTTTTCTTTTGTAGTACATGTTTTTGTTTTGTTTCTTTAGTGTTCGTTTTATCTACGCTACTTGACGAATCTGATATAGTCGCAGCACTATCATAGAGTATTTACATTATTATTATTATTATTATTATTATTATTATTATAAAGCCTATAAATAGCCTATAATATTGTGATCTGAATTTTTCGCCTTCGAAGCAAATCTCACAAGTGGTCAGCTAGCTTCGTCTTTAGCCAGCAGAGCCATAGTTTTTTTCTTTGAAGGATGCCGCCTGAAAATTTGTTTAAAGTGTCCAAAAAAGGGCCTATAATCAGCCTATAATTCTGATGTATTTCGTCCTTCATTTTTCTAAAATGGCTCTGCTGGCTTGTGGGACCTTCCTATCCGCTATGGTTGTTGAAATCAGTGGCGCAACCAAGGGGGGTGCTTTGGGGCAAAAGCACCCCTCAACATTCTAAAGAGAATAAGTGCTTACACATAGACAAGAAGTGGACAAATGAAATGAATTCGAAGTTGCGGTTGTCTTAGCGTCAGGATTGCCTACGTTTACATTATACGTATCGTTTAAAAATCGCCCAAAATCGCAAAATTTGCAGGTTTCTAAAATCGCCCAAAATCGCAAGGTTTTCCAAGTAAGTTCACAATAAAACGAAAAAATAAAATTGTATTTATTTTGAATTAAGTTTTGTACTACTTCTTTCAGCACCCTCCCGCCCTTGAAAAAAGTGCAGGTACTAAGACAACTCATAATTCTAGCACCTCCCAAGGCAAATTTCTGATTGCGCCACTGTAGTTGAAAGATTTAAAAGAACCAACTTTTATGAGGTCATAGTTCGCAAAGGTAACATTTTGATTGTTTATCCTTTACCATCCACATTTTATACATAATGCCCTTTATATCGTCTCGTATTAGTACCTACATAAGAATAAAAAACCGATTGATACCTGCGAAGTATGGGATATGGAGTGATACAAAGTAGGGGATTGGACTTGTGTTTTAATTGTTTACTTTATAAGGGTTTTCTTGTGTAATGTAAAACTGTATTCAATTCACAGATGTTGGATTTTGGGTTTAATTCAATTGGTGCTGGAACATTCACTTTACTTGTCGCTCTGTGAGAAAGACATGTTGCACATAAACTTTTGAATACTGAAAATGTCACTAGAAAAGTAATCGCAAAGAATGTGTATACTGTTACACTAAACATTTTTCGGGCGCGTACAACGACACTTACCAGTTTGGCCATAGGCAAAGATACAAGCGTTGTATCCTTGAAAAGCATTATCTAAAATATCACGTCCTAGACAGTCAAATACCACATCTTGGGAAGCGTAGTTGTCCCTGTAAGGGTCGACAGAATCGAAACAATGATCGAAGGCGAAACTCTTTGGCTGTTTTCTGAAACAATAAAAAATCTGCTGAAACAAAGAGAAACATCCAGCAAACGAAAACATTTGTTTATTTTTTATATCTTCAATCTATTTTGACTAACCGCTACTATGGCAGCAATTTCCAATATCCATTTTTGAGTTATTTCCACAATATATTTTACATTTGCATCTAAACTTCCTTCGTTGATATATTGGTATTTTCAAGGCGCAGGTGCTAAAGTAATAGAAACATATATGTAAACTTTTCGCCTCAAAAAGGAAACAAGAAAGACAACGACACTAATAACGTTTTATCTTTCCGACGTTTCTTTTAGCTTCGCGAAACTTTTCCATCTCATATGCATATATAGGGTATCCTCGGTCGACAATTTCATTTGCATTTACCCGCAACCAAATTAAATAGCGCATTAAAAAGAAAACCAATGAACATATTCATAGTATTCGGAACTATCAATCAATAATACACCTACAACTGCTTCGTAATTGCAGTTTCCCGGAACGCTATGTAAATTTTCATTAAAATTTGTAGGGGGGTAATTTATTGTCACCGTTATAGTTTGAAGTTCATGTAAGGTGGCCATTTGAAAAAAATTGCGTGGCCGTCTGAAACAAAGTGAGAACGAGGGTGCAATTAAAATGGAAATTATAAAGTCGTGCAAAAAAGAGAGACGCATTTCGACGATGTCCTACTCAACATTCCTAATATGGGTAACGTAAAACGAGAAAAGTTGCCCTGCAAGAATCTTATTGTTAAGTTAATGCAAACTTTTCCTGATAGTTGTCTGTAGGGACAAGTAAAATTTTTTAATAATAAGTAAGTGCGAAATAATTTTTATTGTAAACCTAATTAAATAAACTTTTATAATTTTCAAGTAAGAAGTTCTGATTACTGTTGGATAATGAGACAAGTAAAGAGGGGAAAAGCAAGTTTTCACGACTTTTTCCTATTTTTATTTTTTCACATTTTTGGAATTTGTTCCGAATTGTTTTCCTAATATTAATGAATTTACTCAATTGTCTTTGTTAAGTGTGTGCGGTAAATTTGCCCCGAAAAACTCGCCAGGAAGTTTACCATATCATACACTTTACACATTACACATTCAGGGTTCGCAACTGATTTTAGCAAAAAAATAGAGACTTGGTCTCTATTTACATATTTAAATATAGAGACCATTTAGAGACCTTCGAGAACCAATTTCCATTCAAAATTAAGCAAAAAATATTTATTTTGTAATAGATGGGATACATAAACGGCAATATATCTAAAAAAAAAAGTAACCGTTACAACGTAACTGCATAAACGTTGCAATTTTAATAACATTTTAAACAACGTAACAACATAAAATGGATTCATTCTTCAAATACTTATTACCGCAGCAATTGAGAAGGTACTGCAAATCATGAAAAACACCTTCTCGTCGTTAAATTTTCGACCCCAACATTCTACAACTTTGCCATTAATATCTAGCTTCTTACATTACTCAGTTTGAAATTTACACTTTCCCATTTTGTTTTATTTTATTATAAAAAAACCTATTTCTGTATGTTGTTAGATCAATCAAGAATTAAACAAAACTTAGGCCCATCACCTCTGAATAACCAGGCCAGACTAGTAAATAAGCGAAAATAAAATACAAACCAAACAGTGAAACTTGAACCAACTTCTCAACATTCTCAGCGCGCAAAGTTGTCAAAACAAAACAAACTTTTTCCTAGAATTCTGCCAAATACTTTCAAAAACAGCATCTCAGGAAATAATTCGTGGGGGGGGGGGGGGGGGGAGCTTTTTTGACAGCGAAATTTGATGGCCGTCTGGCACACCTTCAAGGTATAGGCTACCTACTGCAAAAAATTCCAGGACTCTAGGAATATTCCCCTAGAAGTAGTTCGAAACGGCAGAAGTGGGTCCGGACGGACAAAACGCAAATAATAGCACATTTTTTTTTAATTTTTAAAAAATGCGCTAAAAATGTACAGTAAAATTTCTGCGGTTTATCAATTATGAATTATACTTTTTTAACATGCAAAATTTAGAGACTTTAGAGACCAAATATGAAAAATAGAGACTTTTAGAGACCAGCATTGAAAAAAGAGACCAATGTCTAAAAAAGAGACCATTTGCGAATCCTGCACATTACACTTTCGAAAAGTAACACCATTATCGATGCTAGGCCAGTATTGCAGAATTAATTAACTAACCCATACCTCTGGCTTAAAGATTCAATTGATTAACTTTTATTGGCGCATTTTTTAAGAATTACAAAAATATGTAGGGGCATAAATCTTTCAAGGGGAACTTTGCCGGGGGCGGTGTTAAATTTCGGATGGGAATTTATCGGGGCGAATCTCCCTACAATTGAAAGTCACATTAATAATACAATATAATGCAACAAATAAAGTGGCTGAAAATTTAAATGTAGCAGAGACCAAAGTTACCAATTTTTCCTTTAAGACGTGCACTTTTATAAGGGAACGGTTTTTCACTTGCCACGGAAAAACGCATGCGAACACAAGCCTTTGCAATACCGTTTCGGATGAAATTTGCATCGATATCGATCATATATATCCTCAGAAGAGTGTATAGGTATACTGAAAGTGTTTAAGTAAGTAGTTTAAGAAATATTGAGAAAATGTGTAAGACATTTTGGAAGTACATAAATCAAAAATGTGCATAAACTGTTGGAATTGTTAAGAATCTTAGGAATACTTGAATAAACATACATTAAGACAAATTTGAAAAAATGGTTCAGAAATTGTATGACATCAGTAAGAATTTTTTTAATTAATCCAAAATCATCTAGACGTTAAAAAATGTGTGAGAAATGTCTCGGAAATGTGTAGGGAATGCCATGAATGTAGAATTATTACTATTATTCATTTTGAAACTCGATGTATAAAAATATTTCAAACGAAGCATGGTGAAAATGTGTGGAAAATTTGGAAATATTTAAGAAATTTCGTAGGATATTATAGAAATGTTGGAAAAATGCAAGACAAGTTTTTATAATGTTTCAAAAATGCTTCGGAAATATTGGAAACGTTTCATAAACATTGGAAATTTATCACAAATTATGGAAATGTGGGGAAAATGTTTTGAGAATTTTGGAAATATTTCAGAACGTGTATAACCATTTTAGAAAGGTGTAAAAACGATATTTTGGAAAAGTTTAGAAAAACAAAAATATTTCGAAAATGATAGAAATGTGAGGGAAATGTTTCAGAAATGTGTCTAGAGTTTTGGAAATATGTAGGAAATTTGTCAGAAATAATAAATAAATAATTAATTCAGGGCGAAATGGCCTATCCAAAGCGGAATTTCAATAGCTTGTGTCCACGATAGTTTTTCCGTGGCATATGGAAAACCTATGGAAATGCACGTGTTAAGAAAACAATTGAAGCTTATTTATTGATCGATATCGATGCAAATTTAATCCAATATGGCACACTAAATGGGTTATCCGAAACAGTGTTTGAATTGTCCACGTTATTTTCTTCCTATCATGGTTTTAGGGAGGTCCGCTTTGGTTATACGCATACCGGTGATGACATCACGTTGGAAATGTTCGTTACTAATTTTATGGACCTACATTTGATACAACTGATAAAAGAAATTGCAATCAAGGTCAAACTAAAATAAAATGTGAAGGAACATATTATGTCCATTTCCCATCCAGACGTTCGATTTTTTTTAATAGACCCCGACGGCCGACTAGAAAATTAATTACAATATTAAGAACAATTGAAGATATTATCGAAATTCGCTATTTACCACAACGTTTAACGCGTATTATTAGAATCGTCATAGACTCAAAACTTCAGTTTTCTTGATCGCCATACTCAAGAAGTCAAAATTGTTGGTCAGTATTGAGAGATACTACAGCTCAAGTTCTCGAACGGTATATCAATTTCTTCATGGAAATGGCCAGTTGGACGAGGGATGGTTCTCATTCGAAAAAGAACTTAACACTGATTCCCATTCTTTGGTTTATAATTATATGGCATTATAATAAGGTTTGGATGGATAATCTCTTAATCTCTAATGTTGGGTTTTATGCAAATCATTAGCGACAGATGGTGAGATTTGTATCACTATCAATGTCAAAAAATTTCAACATTTTCTACACTTTGCTTCCTTGGAGTACGTACTATAAAAGTTCTACTGGGAAATGATGCCTAATCGTTACAGCATGAACGCCCATCAGCTTTTACAAACGAATTATTGCTAAAACCGCAAAAAGTCCACTAAAAGATATTAAAACACATACATGGTTATGCCTTTATGAGATCACGAATAGTGTAGATTACTATTCGTCTTGTGGATTCGAATTTCACAAACATGCAAGATAAATTACATGCGCCGTGCAGGGACGAATATATAATTAGTAATTACATTGCTTGAGACGAGTACCCTTTCATAATTACATTTGATGCGAATTGTCCATGAAACTTCCAAAAAACAACGTCACTACACGGGATTTAGGAAGTGCATAAAGTAAACTGAAAAAAAAATGTATTATCCACCAAAATTCTCTTGTAAAGGCAATGTCCAGCATGACTACTGAATGGTGTTTCTACTATCGTCAGTGATAGTGAGGTGTGAGTGTGACACAACATAAATATAAATACAATGAAAATCACGAAATGCGTGAAATCTATTTCTTCGGCATCGGAGCAATGCGTTTGGGCATTTTTCGTCAAAAAATTGGAGCATAAATAACGACTGTTATTTGGAACATTTGTGTCACAAGTTCAAGCGCATTTAGTTTGAGGGGCTTTGGAGAAGAGCGAAAGTCGGACAAACGTACAAAAAATAGATAATATCTACAGGCAGTGCATTATTTATTGTTTAACAATCAATAAATAAGGTAAATAGACTGCACAATTTTGATGCTGCTGTAAATTCTTCAAGTTGTAGAATGCATTTTTGAGTAAACATATTTTTACAGAGTCTTTAAATGCTGCAGTTGGCAATTCTCTTACAGCTAATGGAATACAGTTATATAGAGT